CGTACAGCTCCACGCGGCCCTCGCAGCCGTTCCTGCCGCCCACCAGCCGCACGCTGCCTCCTGACACACGGCACAAGGCACAAGGACGAGCTCGCACCAACCCTGTGCTCTGCTGTGCCCACGTGGGCCACTGCAACAGGGAGCCTGCATGGCTGCTGCAAGGTTAGGCATGGGGGGCTGGAATTACCTGTGGAATGTGGACTGGCACTGGTGGGCGATGAAGCTGTGGATGCAAGGAAGAATTTGGTGTCAATGACAAAGCTTCCAAAGAGATTCAGCAGATGTCATACAGGTGAGAGTACCCATTTTCTAGGATCCCCTGTCCTGTGATACCTACAACATCCTGCAGAGCTCTTTCACTCATCTGAAATGATCATCCTGACTTTGCTGTTTCATATGGGACCCCCATACACACAGAGACCTCGCCTGAATTTGAAAATATTTAAGGCAGCAGTTTTCTTTCCTCCAGGCACATTCCCAATACACCAGAGCATGTCTAGGAAATAGTTCTGGTAGTACCCAAGTAGGATTTGAGGCAGTTAAGGCAGAATGAACTTGTAGCTCCTGGTTGCAGTGGGAGACAATCCCTCTGCAAAAAGTGTCCTTAAACCAGCAATGGCTGCAGAGTTGCTGGACTCAAAGCCCAGCTGCCCCATTTGCCAGCTCTTCCCCATGCTCTGTTTGCATCCTCGCTTTAGTTGGTGCTGGCCTAACTGCAGAGGCCCAGGGCTGGGAGAGTCCCTGCAGTGCAAGCAGCTCTGGCAAGGGAGATCAGGAGCACAGAGGGTTCCAGAGAGTGAGAGAGGACAGGGTTACCTGGGCTGCTGCTCTGTGCTGTGGTAGCCACTGTCGCTGTGGTGGTCACCAGCTCTGGGCTGGACACCTCGGTTGTGGTGGGAGCTGGTGCTGTGGTGTTTGTTTCCAGAAGGGTGGATGTCTCTGTTAAGGAGGTGATGAGTTCAATGGTCATGGCCATGGAAAGCAGAGCTGGAGGCCAAATGGCAGGAGAGAGGGTGGAGCTCTTTCCTTCCTTTCCCCCATCCTGGCACCAGCCTGACCTGTCCCCAGTCCTGCCCCATCCTCCATAAAGAGCAATCCCTCAGTCCAGAGCTTTGCCCCATCAGTGGATGGCAACAGTAGGAATTGTGGAGTGCCAACTCTTCCATCCTTGAGCAAACTGAGGTTTCAGTATGGCATTGGCTTCAGTCCCAGGCAGCAGAAGACCCCAGCTTTGTCTCTGCCTTGGCCCAACACAGAACTTTCTCAGAGTGAAAGACCCCAGCTTTGTCTCTGCCTTGGCCCAACACAGAACTTTCTCAGAGTGAGATGTAAAGGGCTCATGTTCTCTGCTGCCCACCCACCTGCACAGATGACGCTGGCATCCTCCATGTGCTCACAGTTGTGCATGCCCCAGCCGTTGTGCTGGCACATCTGGAGGGAGGGCTCGTCCCCGCGACACTGCACGTCGTCCAGGAAGATGCGGCCGGAGCCCAGGCCAAAGTGTGCAGTGTCCAGCGCAGCCACGGGCCGGCCACAGCCCAGCTGCTGGCACACCACCTGGGCATCCTGCAGGTCCCACTGGTCGTCACACACCGTCCCCCAGGTGCTGCCGTCGTACAGCTCCACGCGGCCCTCGCAGCCGTTCCTGCCGCCCACCAGCCGCACGCTGCCTCCTGACACACGGCACAAGGCACAACATCAGCTCTCCAACACCTCAGCATCCACAGCCCCCACCTCCCCAAGTGTTTTGCAGATTTTGCCACAGAAACTTTGATTTGAGGTGCTGCAATCCTAAGGAGATCAAGGAAGGGGAGTGAGAGAACAAATAGCCCAGGTATGTGGAAGGCTGATGCATAATGTACAAGGAGCTGCCTGGGAATTTGATGAGAACAGCCTGGGAACCCTGGGAGCTGCTCGGGGCAGGGGAGTATTTGCCAGAAAGCCATTTTTGCACACTATGATCATGGGATATGTCATGAGGGGTCACACTCATACACCTTGCAGATGTTTGAGACTAAGGGCACTGAGAGGGTATCCACAAGGGACTGGCCACCCCTGCTTGATGGTTGCAAAGCAGCAGCCGTGACCTGGCATCAGGACAGATACCTGTGTCTTGGGCTGGCCTGCCAAGCACATGGGCCTGAGGGAAGGGATTGCCCCCATCTGCTTGGTACTTGCTGCCCCACAGCCAGGAGCCATGGAGGGTCTGGGAGAGCGGGGCTTGGACTGGGCAGCACGGCAGTTGCCATTCTGCTGAGGCTCAGATCCTCCATGGCAGAAGCCCTCAAACGACAAGACCCTTTGCTGTGGGCAGAAGGGACCAGCAACTCAGCCCAGCAGGCCTGGTTTGTTCTCCTCTTGTGCCAGGGTGGGGCTCACTGAAAAACTGGAAATATGCAGGGTGGGAAGGAATTACCTGTTGTGTGTGGCCATTGAGCAGGAGGGGTTGGATCGGCAGCTGCAAGGAAAAAGAGGGAGTGAATGAAAGCGTACTAAAGGCAGAAAACTCGTGGCAGTGGATGGACTTGGACATGGACATGGATATGGAAATGTTAGGCTTAAGGAATAAAGGGAGGAAAGGTCATGGAAGTCCTGCTACTGACCAGATCTGTACAGACACCAGCCTGACGTGTCCCCAGTACAGCCCATGCCATGGTCTCACAAACCTTCTCTTTGTACCCCCATGGGGCACCTACACCTGTGAGACTGGAGAGCCTGTTCTTCCCTCTCTGTGCAAACACGGGGATTTTGCATGACACGTATTTCAGCCCCAGGCAGCAACCGACCCCAGGATTTCCTCTCTGTCCTGGCTCTGCATGGCTGCTTTCCATGGAGAACACCAGAACCACCCAGTGTGAGCTGCTGGAGAGCTGATGGTCTCTGCTGCTCACCCACCTGCACAGATGACGCTGGCATCCTCCACGTGCCCGCAGTTGTGCATGCCCCAGCCGTTGTGCTGGCACATCTGGAGGGAGGGCTCGTCCCCGCGGC